TAATGACATCCATATGCCAGTGCATATGTTCCATAATGTTCTTACAGCTAGCTAATAGAGACCAGTTATCACTGTTCTCCACAGCAGCATGAATCCCTGCCCTTGAAGGAAGACTCCATGGGGACAGAGACTCTATCTTCCGCACCTGCTGCAAAATGGAGCTCATGGAACATGGCCATGGAACAGCTAGTTAAGCCAGAGAAGAAGACTGGAAGCCATGCAGAGCAAGACAGGGAGGTTTGGAAGAAGCCATGCTGACTGGAGAAACTGGGAAGAGGGGGACTGGGAGGAGCTGAGGGAAAGGGCTTCGAGCCAGAGCTCAGCTCTGGGAAACCTACACACACCTGCAAGATGTACGAACAGATGGAAGAGCATGCTGAAAGCAGACCTTACAAGTCAGCCCTCTCAGACTATCCACTCCAAAGCCTTTCTTTGTAAAGAAGAAAATGAAGGTCCATGTAGGGATGCTGGTTAAATATACAGGGAGTTCACAGCAGAGCCATGACAGAGTCATACAGCGTGAGTGTGATTTCTGCGTCTAAGCAGGTTAGATTCTCACTTTCAGCCACAATTTCCTTATGGTTGAAAATGGGGCTAGTCATGCCTATGTTTATTGTAAGGAGTAAATGAGATGATGTCCATAAAGCTGCCACATATGCCTTGGTAGGAGGTGCCATGTGACCATGACTGGTCTTTCCTTCTGAAGCCTGTGACCAGTATGGTCCAAAGCCCCAAAGGTCAGCAGCATCAGGGGGTGCTGTCAGTTATAGCATGAGAAGAGAAAAAGATGGGAGGCTGAGGCAGGAGGCTTGGAATCTAAGGCCAGCCTGAGCTACATAATGACTTCCAGGCCAGCCTGGGCTAGAATGAGACCCTGTCTCAAAAACAAACAAGCACAGGACTGGCACGATAATTTGGTAAAGTGCTTGCCACACAAGCATGAATACCTGAGTTTGATCCCCAGAATCCATGTTTAAAACATATATAAAAAAATCAGATGTGGATTGGTGGGTGTGGCAGTGGAAGCCTTTAGTCCCAGCACTTGGAGGGAGAGGCTGAGGCAGGTGGATCTCTGTAAGTTCAAGGCTAGCCTGGTCTATATATCAAGTTCCAGGCCAGCTAGGGCTACATAGTGAAGCCCTGTCTCAAACAAGCAAGCAAGCAAGCAAGCAAGCAGCCAGGTGTGGTGTGCTTATAAACCCAGAGCTGGGGAAGTAGAAATAGGAGGATCCCTGGAGCATGATGGTGAGCTAGCCTAGCCTGCTAGGCAAACCAATGACAGACTGTGTCAAAACAAGGTGGACAGCACCTGAATGACATCTGAGTTTGTCTTCTGGGCTCCACATGCATGCATTCACATGAGCGTACGCACGCGCGCACACACACACACACACACACACACACGTGCACACGGTTGGAAATATAGTGGTAGACCACTTGCTTAGTATGTCTGAAGCCTTAGGTTCAAACCCCAGTACTGCAGCACAAATAAAGAAAAGTAGTAACAGATAGGGAGGTAATAGTAAGTAACAAAATAGCTCATCAGTGGTGAAAGACCCTGGCCGCAGTCTGTTCCTGTTGTGGAGAGGGAGTTTGGGGTGGTAGAGATAGGAGTTCCAGAGCCTTAGACAATCTGAGGTTTTGGCATTTTGTTCTGGATTGTGCTGGAAAAGGGGAAGGACGAACTGCGGGTCTCTAGCATCTGGGAGGTCTGGGAAGGCTCTCCCTGGTATTCCCGCCAACTCTCCTATGTGGATGGGAGAACTTGCTTCCCTTTCCCAGCTCTCATCCCTTAGTGCCCTTGGGGATTTCACACAACACTGAGGGTGCTCTCCAGAAAAGGGATTTTCTAGGTCATCTTTGTTTATAGCTTCTTTAAAACCCAGAGACAAACCACCTATTAATTCATGCCCTGCTGGGGAGGTGAATGTATCTTTTAAAAATTCAAAGGAAACCATTAAACCAAGTTGGTAACCATTGTAACTGCTAATAAGCTTTCCTCTGTTGAAAAAAAAAAAAAAAGAAATGAGTCAGAATGACTTTCCAGGAAGTTTGGTTACTTTAATTAGCTACTTCTTTTTTCGTGCCATTAATTTGAGGATCACCGAGCCACTGATGCTCCCTGTCACCTGAGCTGAGCTCTGAAGGGAAGTTGGAGGGGCACGAAAGATCCTAGGAGATGGAAGACTCATTATCTCCTAGAAGTGGATGACCCACACAGAATCCTTTCCTGGTTGGGAAGTGGAGAAAATCAACTTTCAGGGCTGACCCACTTGCTCAGGTGAAGAGGAAAGAGCACCCTAATCACCTGTGGCCCAAGAGTCCTTGGTAGTGGCACCCCAAATCACAGAATCTTAAGGATGTCATTAAAGATAGTGGTTATGCACATTAGTATCTCAGATAACTCTCAACCCTCCCTCTAAGACAACATTCATTTTCTCTTGTGATAATGTGACAAGGATAAATGACTAAATCAGGTAGCTAGTAAGTGGGTCTGTAGGCTTTTTCTTAGGGAGTAGAATGTAAGATGGAGGGTAGAGACAGGGTCTCAGTATGTAACCCAGGTTAGCCTGGAACTTACTATAGCCAGGACAGGGCTTGAACTCTCCAACTCTCAGCAATCCTCTCACCTCAGCCTCCTAAATGCTGAAATGGGAGTGCACCACCCCACTGGGCTTATTTGCAAGCTTTCATCCTAGGTCTGTTTGATTTGAAAACCATGCTCTTCAAAGGTCTGCCTCCTAAGAAAGTGGATGGTGAGGATGACAGATTTGGAAGATCCTAGCTCACCTCGGGATTCGCTCACCCTTAAGCTTCTCTATACACAGCTCTCATGGCCCTATACAAAGTTAGAATTTGCTCAGGCTGCCCATAACACATTAGCTTTCCTGGCCTCCTCCCATGATCAGAGCCCAGTCTTCCTGGCTCATTGTTGGGGTCTTTGCAGCTCCTTCTGACTCCCCACACAGATCTCTGATTTGGTCAGAATAATTAACAGCAAAGCCCCAGTGCCAAGAGATAAGTGGGGTTTTTTTTTTTCTATATGGACACTGCTCAACTGTGTTCTGGCCAGTAGGGCTCTGGAGAATAGAATTGGTTCCAGGAAAGGGCACCAGCTTTTCTAGGATCACAGCTCTAGACTCTGTTTTTCTCTAGGGAAAAGCATCAATAAGGACACAGTACCAGCACCTTCCAGCTAAGATCACATTAGCTTTTTGAGACTGAAAGAAAGTGGCAGAACAGTGACCTTCCTCCACAGACCTCAGTAACATATATGCTACCTACAAACCAACTGAAGTCAGGCTTGATGCTGTAGGCCTGTGATCCCGACCAAAGGTTAGGTTGAGGCAGAAGGACTGCAAGTTGGGGGCCAGCCTGGGCTACAGAGTGAGTTCAAGGACAATTCAGCAAGACACAAAAAATAAATTAATAAATAATAATAATAATAATGGCTAAGAATGTAGCTCAGTGGTAGAGTACTTGGTTAGCATGTACAAGTGCCTAGATTCAATCCCCCAAATGGTGGGGGGCCAACACCTTGAAAAATGGGTGCAACTGGTCCACACTCTCTTTAGTCCAACTGTTCTATAAAAAGCAAAACCTGAACATTGTAGTTTGATGTGCACTGTTATCTATTCAAGTAGATACTGCTTCAGTATTAAACTGCAAAGCAGAAAAATGTATAGCAAATGTATCGTGAGGATGAGCCCCCCTCCTACATCCTCCACGTGTCTTGTCTCTGACCCCAGATCTTTTAGCTTCAAGAATGGAGCTAGAATGTTCCAGAACAGTTAAAGAAGATTTTAGTTCTAGGAGACATCGATTCTCTTCCACTTCTAATTTCTAGTGATCCAGATGAAACACTAATTGGGGCCTTGTTGGGAGGCTATTAAAGTTATTTGGCAGTGTTACAGTTTCTAGTTATCTTGCCTTAAGTTCTTTTTAATTACATGGAGTTTTCAAACCAAGGCTTAGGCTACAGTGGTAACAAGAGAGAACAGCAAAACATCTCTATTCTTCACCAACAAGACCATGTCTAGGCATCAGTGCCTTCTCTGAGCTCACTTCCCAGCCACACACATAATATTCAGAAGGATAACACTTGTGCATAGACCTGTGTTTGCTTAGTTCCTTAAGAAAGGTGGTTGAGAATCTGGGATGAAAAGACCCTGCTCCTATCTAATGAAGACAAGCTCCACTAGGACCTGATAATACAGCCTGCTGCTTCTAGAGGTGTCGGACTATCACATACAGAAATGAATCTCAAGCTGTCTAGATAGCTCAGCAGGTAAAAGCGCTTGCTATGCAAGCTTGAGGACCCAAGTTCAATGCCCAGAACTGACGTAAAGGTAGAAGAAGAGACTCCAAAAGTTGTCCTCTAATCTTCACTTATACACTGTGGCATGTGTTCCCATGGATATACATCATACATACACAATAACAAAAAAACTGAAACACATACTTGTAATCCCAGCTACCTGGGAGGCTGAAGCAGGATGATCTCAAGTTGGAGACTAGCCCGAGTTACATAGTAAGTTTAAGACTAACTTGGGCAATTTAGCAAAACTCTGTCTTGAAATAAAATTAAAGAGCTAGAGTATGGTTCCATGGTGGGGCATTTGCCTAGCATATGCAAGTCTCTGGGTTCAATTCCCAATTCCAAAAATAAAAATAAACGCATCCACAGGACACAGTGGTAGAGCACTTGCTTGGCATGTGCAAAGCCCTGGGTTTGATGCCTGGCACTGCAAGAATAAATCTCTTTTCCTTTTTATTGCTTATTCCTAAGGATTCGGCTCCTTCCTGGCCTGCTTCCAGAAGTTTGTTTTATGGAGACCAATATTTACTATTCCAAGGTTCTACATCTCCAGAGAAATCCCTCTAGTCCTAAGACCCAGATTTTGGGTCTGAAAGCCCAAGTAAAGCAAGATGATTGCGGGACAGTTTCCTCCCGACTACCCATCCCTGGCTTGCCTGTTCATTCCCAGAAAACACCTTACCTGGCTCCACCTGACTGAAAGTGCTGCGAGCGTCTGTGGAATCTGCTACATCCCCACTCATCTTGATCTCTATAGGGAAAACACAACTGATTTTAATAATGGGTCACCATTTTTTTTTTTTTTGCTATGACATATATGGCTTTAACTAAATAGCAAAGATGAATGTGTAATTATAACAACCATCAGACTTTCAAATTCCTGATTCCCGAAAATACAGCCATTAGAATATTCATAAGCTTGGGGGCACAAACCCCCTCCTCCTGGGCTAGCTTCTTCTCCTAGCCTTTCTTTCTCCCCTTTCTCTATAGCTACTTCAGGGTCTTTCACCTTCAGTATCATTCAATGCTGCCTCCTCCCATTACTCAGACTTAATGAGGTAAAATTTAGCAAGGGTATGGGGCCTAGAGGCAGGGGGACCCTGTTCATTCCAATCTGTCATTTCTTTTGGAATTGGGGACATTTGTTTTATTTTCTTAAAGTTGCACAAGAACCTACGTAAGCCATATGTGGTGGCATATGCCCCCCTCCCCCCTAAAATCCAACACTACTCAGGAGGCTAAGGCAGAGGATCATAACTTCAAGACCAGCCTTGAACATAAAGAGGGAGACCTTGTCTTTAAAAGTAAAATAATAAAAATAAAAATTAAATAGCATAAGCTATATCTCACTTTCACTCCCCATTCTATACAACATCATGACCTAGAAGATAAGACTACTTTCACCAGTTTTCCCTTCTTACCTTTTTGTCCCCAGTTCTGTTGTCTGTCTGGTTCCCAGAGGTCAGCACACTATCTGGGGAGCAAACCCTACTACCTCCTTTGTCACCTTCTCAGAGATCCTGCCCTCTGAGGCTCCTTCCTTTCTTTCCTACTCCCCCAAGTTGCTCAGTGAGAAAGGGGTGTTTGGCTGAGAAAGCAGACTTATAGATGGCCTAGTGTCAGCACCTAAGCTCTGCTGCTCTGGCCTCTCCACTCTGCTCCATTGCAGTAAATTAAACATTTACCCATAACAGACAGCTACCACCACCTAAGAGGCCCTAAACCTCCTCCCATCAGCCAAGGGGAGAAAAGAGGCAACTTTGATCTCTCTCTCTCATCTCCTCTCCTTATTAAACCACCAAATCCTAATGTTTAAGACAGAGAATATTTTATTCAAATTGTGTGGACCACCCCCCTCACCCCACCCTCTTCTCTGGAGCAGCACTTTAACTCTTTCCAACCAGATAAAGTCTTGGTGAGTATGTTTGCATAGGAGGCTCCCCAGCCAATCCTAGCCAATCCCAGTCAAGAAGGCAGCCTTAATTTGCATATGGTAATCAGGCAGTTGGCAGTGTAGACATCCAAGGTCTGGAGATGATCAGGATGAGGGAAAAGGGTGGACCTCTTGTGGGGAGGTGAGGGTGGTGGGGAGGTGGGTGTGGATTTGGGGGTGGTGATGGGGGGAGTGGGGTAAGGTGGGAGGTGTGTATCCTTTTTTTTTCTTTTGTAAGACACTAATGATAATGGTGCAGCTCCTAGAGATATTTACACCTCCATAGTGAAGTGACTGTGGTACCAAGTAAGGCAGAGATGGGGCCACCAGCCAATGCACTAGAAGGGAGGGAGTTTGAGCAGTTTTTTGAGGCCTGTCAACTGAAGGAAGACACCCAGGTAAATAATGGGAGCTCTGTGGAGTCTCCCTATATACTCCATATGGTCACAGAACCCTAAAAAATACCCCCTCTACTCTGCATTTGGGGGTCTTCCTTGAGCCTAACCCCAGCCTCTCCTGCTGCAGTTGGAAACCATATGCTTGGTTAGCCCTGTGTGCATATGCAGAACTAGCATGGGCTTCTGCCACTGCTCATTTTGTGCTATTGGGAAAATGGGTTTCACTTTGTCCCAGCCTGGAGCTGGACAATGCCCAACACCTGATCAATAGCCTTCACCACAGGGATTCTTCCCCAGTGCTGAGAAAAAGCTCTGATCAGAGCCTGCTAGAAAGGCACAAGATAGACATTCTCTCCTGCTGCTGGTTTGAACCTGCTTTAACAGAGCCTTAATTCAGGAATTCAGAGGGGGGGCAGTTGGCAGCAGACAAGCCTAAATTTAATCCAGTGCCATAACTAAGTAGCCAGGGAATTCTAGCCATATATATGAACATGAATTTTCTCACCTAGAACCAGGGATGATGAAACAACTCCTTGGGGTATGTGGAGAATTAAATGAAATGATGAATGAAAACAAAGTGGTCACCTATTAAATGACACTGGCTTAGACAGGAGTCCTGGTCTCTTCTTGCTCCTGGTCATTCATGCTCCTTCCTTAGCCCTTCCCAACTACCATGGACAGTTGTAGCTTTGTCCAGCACCTTTGTAGCTTGTCCTTCACCTGTGAAGCCAATAACATTCTCCAAATCCTGTCTTTAGAGGAAAAGTGTTCATGGGGACAGTGAAGCCTGGAGCAACCAGAGTCTCTGAATCAACTTATTTCAAACTCCAGATATATAAACAGGTAACTTGGTAACTTAAATAGGCATGTATGTGTGTATATGTGTGTGTGTGTGTGTGTGTGTGTGTGTGTGTGAGAGAGAGAGAGAGAGAGAGAGAGAGAGAGAGAGAGAGACAATATAAGAGAGAGAGAGAGAGAGAGAGAGAGAGAGAGAGAGAGAGAAACTAGTCTTACATGTTAGGCAAGTGCTCTGCCTCTGAGATACATCCCTGAACCATGTTTATTTTGAGACAGGGTCTCAAGTTGCCCAGGCTAGCCTTGAATGCACACTAGCCCAGACAGACAGGCCCTGAACTTACATCTTTCTGTCTTAGTCTCCCAGGAATAGTTGGGAATACAAGTTTGCACCACCAGGGCTGGCTTAAACATGTAGCTTTTTGAGTTGAACCTTAATTTGTTGCCTAACACCCCAACTTTCCTCCCACATCCATTCCCCATCACTTTATCCCCCAAACCTTCTCACTCATCTTTTAAATAAGCTTAAAGCTTAGACTTGATTACATCTAACAGTTATTTCTGAAGACATCCAAGCCACCCCGCCCCAACAGCCATGCTTCCATGACCTGGTGACAGTCTGATTCTCAAGGCAGGAAGTGGAGCCACACTGAGGGGCAGGGTGAGATAACCTGGAAACCTTCTGTCCCCAGCATGCTCAGATACTGAGAACCTGTTCCTGTTGGGTAGGAGGCTGAGGCTGATGGGTGGGACGAGCCCTTGGGTCTCAGCCTAAAAATGGGCCAACACCGAAACTCCCCGAGACGCTGGCTGTAACCCTTCACCTGTTGGACAGCACTTCCCAGGGGTGAATGAGAGAGGTGTGGGGTGGGGCTGGCTACGCTGTGGCTGTGTTTCTTATCTCTGAGTCGGCTCTCTGCCACCCTCCCTTCCCTGGGGAGGCTCAGCTGCAGTATGTAAGAGCCTAGACACCTAGTGTAGACCCCGACCTGCCTCGTCTGGCACCATCATAGGGTGAAGATGGTCTGGCCCTCCTGGGCTGTGGTCTGACAAGAAGCCATCCCTTCCATAAACATCTTGGAACACAACCACCCCAAGGCAATGCTCTTCCCAGGTAGCATGCTGAGTACCCTCTTGGGTCCAGGCTACTCTGGGCAAAAGTAAGTTCCAACCCCTCTTTCCTATTGTCCCTTTTCCTGTCCTAGGATGGAACTGGACCCACCTCCTGGTTCTTTCCTTAAGTTTTGGGAGGCACTTCCACAAGGGGGACTTCCTGGGACCTTCCAATGCCACTTCTGAACTAGCCAAGGCTCTGCCTCTCCTGGTGCAGACTTCTCTTGTCTTCTTTCAACAGGCTTTTCGACCCAAATGCATTCCTGAGCTCCAACTGGCACACGTCTGGGACACTCAGCCTCCCTCCTCCAGCCCTGGTGGGGGAACAACTGACAGGGAGAAACACATAGAAAGACACTCAAGGCCAGCCAGGTGTCCTCCTCTGGCTGACTTCATACCATTTTGCTCTCTTCTTCCTTTGTAGCTGACTGACTGGCTCTTTCTTGTCTATCCCTCCAGGCCAGAGTACAGGGAGCCCCTCTTTGACTGAGAACTCTTATGTTGTGTCACTTGCTCAGGTTTCAGTGCTTCAGAGTGAGAGAGGTTCTGTTAGGTACGCAGTGTGGTGCCTTGAATCAGAGTTTGTTGCTAGGCCACCAGAGCAAGAACATAGAGCTCAGAGGCCGTGGAGCTATGGGGCTCTCTGAAATGGGACCTGGAACAAGCCTATGACTATGTCTATGAGCTCTATCCTCTTCGTTTTACATAGAAACTGTCCCAGGAAATCAATGAGGAGGGATTCCTACAATTGGATTGGGAATTCCAGTGAAGTCTCAGTCTTTAAGGATCAGCAGAATATGGGATTACTATGGGGGAAGGGTAAGACTAAGAAAAGACCATGTTTCTGTAGTTATTAGACTGATGAACCCAGGCAGGGAGCCTGCAATGAGACAGTTCATAGAGAGAGAAGGACCACTTCCTTGTCCATATACACAGCAGAGCTCATATGAAAGCCTGGCATAGTGGCTTATACCTGTAATCCAAGCACTGGGGAGGCTGAGGCAGGAGGATTACTTAAGAATTTGATATTAGCTTGGGCTACATAGCAAGATTCTCTCTCAAAAAATAAAACAATGAAGATCTCAAATTGAAAAGCTAGTGCAGCTCAGAAAGTCCCAAACTGAGAGAGCCTATGGATGTGCCACCAAAGGGCAGACATTCCAGAGGGACCAAGATTTAGTGACTTGGAGTGAGACCCAAGAGGAATTGCCTAAAGAAACTGGCAGAAGCCAGGCTTGGTGGTGCAGGCCTTTAATCCCAGCACTTGGGAGGCAGAGGCAGGCGGATCTCTGTGAGTTCCAGGCCAGGCTGGTCTACATAGCAAGTTCTAGGACAGCTGGGGCTACAGGAAGACCCTGTCTCAAAAAGAGCAGAAAAAGAAAAAAAGAAAGAAAAGAAAAAGAAACTGGCAGGGGAGAGTTGCAAGACAACTGGAGAAGTGAAGCAGGCAATGCACACAAAGGTGGATAGATCCCCATCTGAGAAGTCACCCCAACCATCCTGAGGAGTCATCCCATCTTGGGTCTAGCACACTCTGCCCACAGAACACAGAGCATGGGCATCTGAAAAGCATCAGTCAGGGGCTTGCATGGGTGGAGCCATGAACTATCTTTCTGACCTCTCCCCTCTCCAGTTCTCTACCAGATCCTCCCAGTTCCTTTGCTGCTGCCAGGCCAGGACCCAGCTGTTCCACCTCCTCCTACTTCCCCAAGCAGAAGCCTCCAGTAGGCAGGGAGTTGGAAACCCCCGCCAGGAAGTCCCTAATCCTGGTCCTAGAGAACTCCCCACCCCTCCACCTTTGGAGAAGACTTATTCCCATTTGAATACAGGGCTTCTTGATGGAGAAGTGGAGGATAAAATGCCTGCCCAAGGGGCCTGTCCCCAGCTACTTTCAGTTCCATGTTGGTTCTATGGATCTGGAAACTTTCCTCAGACACTGAATGACACCCAGTTGGAAGGTTCCTTTGGCCTCAAATAGTCCTTCCTGGCATATCATGGGGAACAAGGCATGGCTGCCAACATTTCTCTCTGCCAGACAGTCTTGTATTCAGCAGATCTGGGCATCCTGGGCCTCATATGTCTCCACTGCTGCCTGTTTCTAGGATTGGTAGGAGCCTGGAAGATCTAGCCTGCTCTGTTTCTGGGGGTGGGTCAGAAGAGCTGCTTTCTTCTTCTCTTCCTCCATCTCCTCCTCCTCATTCTTCTCCTCTTTGACCTCCTCATTCTTTTAGGACAATGAACACGATCCCTCAGCAACCCTGAAGTTCTAAAGAAAGATCAGTGGGTCCTGCACATGGTGAGAAGCAAGGCTTGTAGTGCCCAAGTTATGTCCAGGTTTTTTCACCTTGAGTCTGACCTTGAGTCTGTTCTTCACTCATCCCCTCAGGCAGCTCAACAGATCATCATGGCCCCCATCATCACCAAGCCCAGTCCTTCAGCTTAGTAGATTTTACCCTAGCCCAGCTGGGAAGTGAGGGATCCACAAGCATGAATGGAGGACTTGGGTCCTTCCGCACTGGCCTCTCATTTGTTCCTGCAGGGGAAACTGGATCCTGGCCATGCCTTTCCAGCTCCTGGGTTCCAGTCCATCAGGAAAGGAGGTCATGGAATATGGGACTCAGAAGATGTGCCTCTTGGACATAGGCCTATCATGCACTGAGCCCACAGCACCCACAAAACCAGCTGAGGATGTAAGTGGACACACCTCCCACACATTCAGACACATTGGAACACTAGGGTGCAAGAATCATCAGCCCCCTTAGGGTCTGCTCCATCGATTCTCCTAGCCTACAAGGGGGGACAGGCAGACACTCCTGACACTTACTGGCACATGCTTACACAAGTCTTAATCAATGCATTTATGGCATGGCACTTGCCCCAGGTGTGCCGCTGGAATTGCTCCACCCTACCCATTTCTCTTAGGCACCCCCCATGCCCACTTTGCCTGCATTTCACACAGGTGCCCCAACACCAAACACGCAGCATGTGGATACACGTATGCACTCTTAGGTCCACACCCTGACTGAGGGAGTGAACCACCCATCTCCTGCAACCTCCTGCGACTAGCACTTCAGCACACCCAAGCCCCATTCAACTGCCTCTTCCCCAGATCTGGGACTTCAGGAACTCCATGCTTCCCTTACTAGTCCCCCAAGACTCAGCCCAAACTTCTCTTTAATCCCTTGGACACCTACCACGCCGCCTGGATGACCCGCTACACACATCGCCATCTCCCGGCAGCCAGGGATTTATCCCCTTAGCCCCGCCCACGCCTCTGTGGTGTCCAGGTCCTTGGCCCCTTGCCACGCGCAGTGACACCTGTCGGAGCTCACTCCTTCTACCCCTTACCTGTGTGCATGGGATCCAGGTTCACCATCCTGCCCCAGGTGGGGCCAAAGCCAGCGCCCCCCCAGGTCCCTCGCGGCTGCCCCAGCCGGGCCCCCGGGGAAGCCAGGGTCTCCTTCCTCCCGCCCCCGGCCTCCGCCGCCACCGCGGGAGCCGCTGCCGGAGCCGTCGCCACCTCGGTTGCGCGCTCCGCTGCTCCGGCCCGGGCAGCACTCGGCACGGTCAGGCTTAGCACATTCCCCAGGTGAGCACGCGGCGCCGGGCGGGGGCCCGGGCCACGCCTCCTGGCAGGGCCCCCGCGCCTGGCCCCGGGCCCATGCAAAGCAGCGATTTGCATACGTGGAGCTGGGGGCCCGGAGAGAGGGTCGAGGTGCTGCCGGGGCGGGTCCGGACCCTGCCGAACACCTGTCTGCCGCGACCTGGCCTGGCAGTCCCTCCCCACCACGCCCTCGGCGGTCCAGACTTCTAGGGCAGCGTGCCCTTTTGGGGAACCAGGGCTTCTGCCTGGATGGGCTCCCGAAAAGTAAGCCATGCAGAGAGTTGGGAGTGTTTAGGAGAAGCCGGAAGCGAGTGCTGCAAAGGGCCTTGGAATCCTACCTGTCAATCGCTTAAGAGTCCCATGGCTTGCTTGGGTCAAGGCTCTTCACCTCCTTGACCTCATTTTACACATCTGTAAAACGGGGCTTGTGCTAATGATAACTGGCATCTCTCTGGGCTAAGTAGATGACCAACCCCGCCTGGTCCCGTGTGGAAAAAACTGCACCAGCTTCTTCCCAGATTTTCCAGGTATTCAGGGCTGCCCCTTCTTTGCCTGCTGTTCTCACCCCCACCTAGGGTCCCAGGATATGAGGGAGATGGGTGTGGAGATTTTTTGCCAGTGCCAGTACTGGGTGCCAGAGTCTGGAAGTTGCTTATCCAAAGGCAGTAACTCACCAGTGATGGAGCCTGGATGAAGTCAGGTCTGCGGACTCCAATTCCAGTGCACTCCACAGCGGCACCAGTCTAAGACTTCTCTTCAGGTGCCAGTTCCTGAATCTGAGGCCCAGGGACCACTGCCTGCCAGCTCAGAAAGTCATGTGCAGACAGGAGGGCAGCGAGCTTTGCCTCTCATTATCCTTTCCAGATGGGACTCCTCATCAACCTCCCATCACCCTAGGCTCAAGCTGTTTCCTGCCCACAGGACAGTCCTGGGCTTTGCTGCCTCTAGGCCTGTTTATTGATGTTCTTTCCAGCTGGACTGTCCACTCAATACTGTGCTTCCACTGTATACTACGTGGGCATGGTGCTAAACAACTTTAAGGGTATTTTTAATGCTATTATTATTATTAAGTGCTGTTTAAAACCAAGACTGTACACATGTGAAGCAAGCTTTCTAGCTGCTGAGCTACATCCCCGGCCCCTCCTGGTGTTGAGATAGGGTCTCCTTATGTCACTTAGTACTTGAACTCCCCATCATCCTCAAATCAGTGCATATGAAAACCCTGTAAATGGCCAGGAGTGGCGGTGCATGCCTTTAGTCCCAGTACTCAGAGGGCAGAGGCAGGCAGATCTCTTGAAGTTCAAAGCCAGCCTGATTAACATAGCAAGTTCCAGGCAAAGCAAAAGAATATAAAAAACCCCAAACTGTAAATGGTACCATGATTTCCATTTCACAGATAGGGTAACTGAGGCTTAGGGAGTTTAACTTGCCGTGTTACACAGCCCATAAATACCAAGTTCTTGAAAGAAAAAAATAATCAAGCTCTTGCTAGAAGCGGTGGCACACAGCTCTTAGGAGCCAGAGGCAGGCGATCTCTGTGTTTGAGGCCAGCCTGGTCTACATAGTAAGATCCTGTCTCAACAAACAACAGCAAAAACAAAACCAAAAAGGAAGAGGGCTGTAGTTCAGAAGTGTTACTCTATTTTTTCTAATGCACAGTTCAAATGCCCCCTCTTTTTGAAGTTGGAAGTGATCTGGTGTTAGGGATGTGTCTTAGAAATACAGGCCCTCTCCCTCTATTTATTTATTTATTTATTTACTTATTTATTTGAGACAGGTCTCATGTAGTCCAGGTTGGCTTTGAACTCACTAAGTAGCTGATCTCACTGAGCTCTGCCCACCTCTTCTTCCTGAGTACTAGGATTAAAGGCCTGTACCTCTGTGCAAGCTTGAACTCCTGATCCTCCTGGCTGTACTTCCCAAGTGATGCGATTTCAGACGTGTGCCACCATGCAGTTTATGCAGTGCTGGGAATGGAGCCCAGGACTTCCTGCATTCTAGGCAAGCATTCTATCAACTGAGCCATAGCCCCAGCCCATAAGTTCTGTTTTAGATGTAAGAGATGCGTGTCCTCCCACCAGCATTAAGAGGAAAATGGGTGAGTTCACTATAGGGGAACTTTGTCACAGAAAACGTCTTAAACCCCAATTCAAACTGTTAGCTAATTGCTGTCAAGAAGAGCAACTCTAGCTGGACATGGTGGCACATGCCTTTAATCCCACCACTTGGGAGGCAAAGGCAGGTGAATCTCTGTGAGTGTGAGATTGAGGCCAACCTGATCTACATAGTGAGTTCCAGGCCAGTTAGGGCTACAGAAAGACCCCTTCTCAAAAAAAGAAAAGAAAAGAAAAGAAAAAAGTTCAACTTCAACCATGCCAAACGGAAATAAGGAAGTGATTGATTTGGGTGGAAATTTGTCAATATTCAAGTGGACAACAGTACAGAGCCCCCATCCATCAACATAACACACATTGTCTTCTGAGGGTAAGATTTTTAGCTAACTCATTCTGGTAAGCTTATCATGAGGCTGTGACCCTCCAAACAGGCTTCAGAAGGGACTCCTCAGCTACCTATCGGAGGCCAGCCTGGGGGGCGGGGGAAGAGAGGTGTGTGTAAGGCTGGTGAGAAAGTTCAGGAAGTACAAGTACTGTATGAGGACCGGAGTTCAGATCCCCAGCACCCACATAAAAAGCCAGGAGTAGCCATATGGACACTTGCAATCCTAGGACTATGGGGGTAAAGAGAGGAGGATCATTGAAGTTTGCTGAGCATAAGCCCAGCTCCAGGTTCAGTGTATGACCCTGCCTCAAGGGTATAAAAAGGAAAGTGACAGAGCAGGACACCTCTCCCCTTCTGGCCT